AAATGGCTCCCCTTTAGAAACAACCATGTCAACACAGACTGGTATGATGTTTAGCTTCCTGAGAAACACAAGCTGCTATGGGTAGAGAATGCCCAACCATAGACCTTGGTTGTTCACCTGAGGTCACGTAGGCAAAGGCTGAACCACTGAACTATCTTGGTCCTATCACAGGAGTTACTAGTAACACATAAAGCACCATCTATTTAACAGTTTTGTGGTGCATGCATCCTTAAAGGGAGATTCTATTCAAAAATAGGTTTGAAAGCTTAAATGACAATTTTCCTTCAAAGTTACATTAACTTGCAAATGTAATTATAAATTGCTAAGCTTGCAATGTGCAAAGCGAATTCAAATCTTTGGTAAAATCAATAAAACACGATGCCTTGCGGAGGGGAAGATTGGGCCCTGAAAGTATCTCACAGTAATTAAGTTACAAGTTCCAATCTAAGGACTGAAATTCATCTCGGAGGAATGGATTGATATCTGCTAGCTTTAAATATCTTCAAGTTTCAAAAGTAATTCTGATTCATCTGTGAGATTGCATGGTTGTATTTAATTTGAAAGGTAATAAATATTGATAGTTTTACAAGTAATTTCTGCCATTGTGAAGTAATTATAAAAGAAACATGATGATGAATAGAAAACTTTGTCAAAATTACATAAGCTTGTAATTTGATGAACTGCTTTGCTTGTTTTTGAATACAAAATTTTATTATAGAAAAGTACCACTATGTTTCGATATATCCAGTTTCTTCTATAACATTTTCTTGACCATGGGAGATGGCCAAGGTATTTTGTTGAAAAAAAACCCCAGTAAAAACTGTTAATTGGACATGTGAATATGGAAGGTGTCACTGATGAATAAAATGCATACCCTTCCAGAACACCTGGTCCTATTTTTATAAATCTTTGTTAGTTCATAACATTCTTTTTGGTTTTATTGAGTCAAAATAACAAATTTCCTTACATGATGTTTAATGGTGATATATCAATCCACGTGCACTTAATCTGTCTCCTTTGTGGAACACTTCAATATTAGAAAAGGAAAGAAGTTTCAAATAAGGATGTTTGTGATTCATGCAACTTAAACCTTAAATCACTGCCAAGTGAAAGTCCTAAATCCCAACATTGCTTTGTGCAAAAACTGTATGGTATTTGACATCTTTTTTAAAACTTTTAGTCTGATCTGATGGTGAAATGTATGATGACAACACTGAGCTGTGTCTAAGGACTGTTATGTCACTGAGCTGTTTAGCCTGATCTGATGGTGAAATGTATGATGACAACACTGAGCTGTGTCTAAGGACTGTTATGTCACTGAGCTGTTTAGCCTGATCTGATGGTGAAATGTATGATGACAACACTGAGCTGTGTCTAAGGACTGTTATGTCACTGAGCTGTTTAGCCTGATCTGATGGAGAAATGTATGATGACAACAGTGAGCTGTGTCTAAGGACTGTTATGTCACTGAGCTGTTTAGCCTGATCTGATGGAGAAATGTATGATGACAACAGTGAGCTGTGTCTAAGGACTGTTATGTCACTGAGCTGTTTAGACTGATCTGATGGAGAAATGTATGATGACAACAGTGAGCTGTGTCTAAGGACTGTTATGTCACTGAGCTGTTTAGACTGATCTGATGGAGAAATGTATGATGACAACAGTGAGCTGTGTCTAAGGACTGTTATGTCACTGAGCTGTTTAGACTGATCTGATGGAGAAATGTATGATGACAACAGTGAGCTGTGTCTAAGGACTGTTATGTCACTGAGCTGTTTAGACTGATCTGATGGAGAAATGTATGATGACAACAGTGAGCTGTGTCTAAGGACTGTTATGTCACTGAGCTGTTTAGCCTGATCTGATGGAGAAATGTATGATGACAACAGTGAGCTGTGTCTAAGGACTGTTATGTCACTGAGCTGTTTAGCCTGATCTGATGGAGAAATGTATGATGACAACAGTGAGCTATGTCTAAGGACTGTTATGTCACTGAGCTGTTTAGCCTGACTGATGGTTGTGTACTGTCACAGATATCAGAAGTCTGATGTAGAGTTATAAAATCCTAATTTTATTGTTTACTGAAATTCCATGTTCCATACTCATAAACAACCAAGAAGCCTCTCCACATCCTATTCTACCTGACTATTGATTATGTAACTGTTATGTATGAAGATTGTGTGACAGCCCCCTCCTCCTTATACAACAGATTAATCAGCCAACATTGCTATTTCATGTTGTCAGACTTGTAAGATATCTATCCTTGTACTGCTATCGAATCAATCTATCAAATTCTTTTATCTCCACTTTTCCCTTTAGCAATAAAAATGCTTGCTGGCAGCTAATGGAGATGTATGTTTTAAAATTTCTCCTGAAATCTGTACAGCTAAGAGACCATATGCTTCAATGTAGGTCAAACTTAACGCAATTGTTTAAAAAAATGGTTTCTCAGATCAATAAACCAATGTATTAGACTGTTGTAATGTATCAAACTTGTTTACATAGCGAGAATATAAGGTGAGATACATTGATGACCTTGGAATGACAGAAACATCAGTACAGGAGAACTCACACAGGCTGACGCATAGAGGACTGTTTACACTGGTAAGACTCATGCTGTCTAATAGAGGACTGTTTACACTGGTAGGTCTCATGCTGTCTAATAGAGGACTGTTTACACTGGTATGTCTCATGCTGTCTAATAGAGGACTGTTTACACTGGTAGGTCTCATGTTGTCTAATAGAGGACTGTTTACACTGGTAGGACTAATGTTGTCTAATAGAGAACTTTTTACACTGGTAGGACTCATGCTGTCTAATAGAGGACTGTTTACACTGGTAGGACTAATGTTGTCTAATAGAGGACTGTTTACACTGGTAGGTCTCATGCTGTCTAATAGAAGACTGTTTACACTGGTAGGTCTCATGCTGTCTAATAGAGGACTGTTTACACTGGTAGGTCTCATGCTGTCTGCTAGAAGACTGTTTACACTGGTAGGTCTCATGCTGTCTAATAGAGGACTGTTTACACTGGTATGTCTCATGCTGTCTAATAGAGGCCTGTTTACACTGGTAGGTCTCATGCTGTCTAATAGAGGACTGTTTACACTGGTAGGATTAATGTTGTCTAATCGAGGACTGTTTACACTGGTAGGTCTCATGCTGTCTAATAGAAGACTGTTTACACTGGTAGGTCTCATGCTGTCTAATAGAAGACTGTTTACACTGGTAGGTCTCATGCTGTCTAATAGAGGACTGTTTACACTGGTATGTCTCATGCTGTCTAATAGAGGCCTGTTTACACTGGTAGGTCTCATGCTGTCTAATAGAGGACTGTTTACACTGGTAGGACTAATGTTGTCTAATAGAGAACTTTTTACACTGGTAGGTCTCATGCTGTCTAATAGAGGACTGTTTACACTGGTAGGACTAATGTTGCCTAATAGAGAACTGTTTACACTGGTAGGTCTCATGCTGTCTAATCGAGGACCGTTTACACTGGTAGGTCTCATGCTGTCTAATCGAGGACTGTTTACACTGGTAGGACTCATGCTGTCTAATAGAGGACAGGTTACACTGGTGGGACCTATGCAGTCAATTAGAGGACAGGTTACACTGGTGGGACTTGGGCTGTCTGCTAGAGGACAGGTTACACTGGTGGGACTTGGGCTGTCTGCTAGAGGACAGGTTACACTGGTGGGACTTGGGCTGTCTCCTAGAGGACAGGTTACACTGGTGGGACTTGGGCTGTCTCCTAGAGGACAGGTTACACTGGTGGGACTTGGGCTGTCTGCTAGAGGACAGGTTACACTGGTGGGACTTGGGCTGTCTGCTAGAGGACAGGTTACACTGGTGGGACTTGTGCTGTCTGCTAGAGGACAGGTTACACTGGTGGGACTTGGGCTGTCTCCTAGAGGATAAGTTACACTGGTAGGACTAATGTTGTCTAATAGAGGACTGTTTACACTGGTTGGTCTCATGCTGTCTAATAGAAGACTGTTTACACTGGTAGGTCTCATGCTATCTAATAGAGGACTGTTTACACTGGTAGGTCTCATGCTGTCTAATAGAGGACTGTTTACACTGGTATGTCTCATACTGTCTAATAGAGGCCTGTTTACACTGGTAGGTCTCATGCTGTCTAATAGAGGACTGTTTACACTGGTAGGACTAATGTTGCCTAATAGAGAACTGTTTACACTGGTAAGTCTCATGCTGTCTAATCGAGGACTGTTTACACTGGTAGGACTCATGCTGTCTAATAGAGGACTGTTTACACTAGTAGGTCTCATGCTGTCTAATAGAAGACTGTTTACACTGGTAGGTCTCATGCTGTCTAATAGAGGACTGTTTACACTGGTAGGTCTCATGCTGTCTAATAGAGGACTGTTTACACTGGTATGTCTCATGCTGTCTAATAGAGGACTGTTTACACTGGTAGGACTAATGTTGTCTAATAGAGAACTTTTTACACTGGTAGGACTCATGCTGTCTAATAGAGGACTGTTTACACTGGTATGTCTCATGCTGTCTAATAGAGGACTGTTTACACTGGTAGGACTAATGTTGTCTAATAGAGAACTTTTTACACTGGTAGGTCTCATGCTGTCTAATAGAGGACTGTTTACACTGGTAGGACTAATGTTGCCTAATAGAGAACTGTTTACAATGGTAGGTCTCATGCTGTCTAATCGAGGACTGTTTACACTGGTAGGACTCATGCTGTCTAATAGAGGACTGTTTACACTGGTAGGTCTCATGCTGTCTAATCGAGGACTGTTTACACTGGTAGGACTCATGCTGTCTAATAGAGGACAGGTTACACTGGTGGGACCTATGCAGTCAAATAGAGGACAGGTTACACTGGTGGGACTTGGGCTGTCTGCTAGAGGACAGGTTACACTGGTGGGACTTGGGCTGTCTGCTAGAGGACAGGTTACACTGGTGGAACTTGGGCTGTCTCCTTGAGGACAGGTTACACTGGTAGGACTAATGTTGTCTTATAGAGGACTGTTTACACTGGTAAGTCTCATGCTGTCTAATAGAAGACTGTTTACACTGGTAGGTCTCATGCTGTCTAATCGAGGACTGTTTACGCTGGTAGGTCTCATGCTGTCTAATAGAGGACTGTTTACACTGGTAGGTCTCATGCTGTCTAATAGAAGACTGTTTACACTGGTAGGTCTCATGCTGTCTAATAGAGGACTGTTTACACTGATAGGACTAATGTTGTCTAATAGAGAACTTTTTACACTGGTAGGTCTCATGCTGTCTAATAGAAGACTGTTTACACTGGTAGGTCTCATGCTGTCTGATAGAGGACTGTTTACACTGATAGGACTAATGTTGTCTAATAGAGAACTTTTTACACTGGTAGGTCTCATGCTGTCTAATAGAGGACTGTTTACACTGATAGGACTAATGTTGTCTAATAGAGAACTTTTTACACTGGTAGGTCTCATGCTGTCTAATAGAGGACTGTTTACACTGATAGGACTAATGTTGTCTAATAGAGAACTTTTTACACTGGTAGGTCTCATGCTGTCTAATAGAGGCCTGTTTACACTGGTAGGACTCATGCTGTCTAATAGAGGACTGTTTACACTGGTAGGTCTCATGCTGTCTAATCGAGGACTGTTTACACTGGTAGGACTCATGCTGTCTAATAGAGGACTGTTTACACTGGTAGGTCTCATGCTGTCTAATAGAGGACTGTTTACACTGGTAGGTCTCATGCTGTCTAATCGAGGACTGTTTACACTGGTAGGACTCATGCTGTCTAATAGAGGACAGGTTACACTGGTGGGACCTATGCAGTCAAATAGAGGACAGGTTACACTGGTGGGACTTGGGCTGTCTCCTAGAGGACAGGTTACACTGGTGGGACTTGGGCTGTCTCCTAGAGGACAGGTTACACTGGTGGGACTTGGGCTGTCTGCTAGAGGACAGGTTACACTGGTTGGACTTGGGCTGTCTCCTAGAGGACAAGTTACACTGGTGGGACTTGGGCTGTCTGCTAGAGGACAGGTTACACTGGTTGGACTTGGGCTGTCTCCTAGAGGACAGGTTACACTGGTAGGACTTGGGCTGTCTTATTGAGGAACGTCTACATTGATAGGACTTGAGCTGTGCTATGAGGCACCATTTACACTGGAAATCTTATCTATCCTATAGAGACAAGTGTATCAGTAAAACTATTGACTATTTCCTAAAAACAGCTTTATTGGACACAAAATTTTAAGAAAGGGCAATAATTAAAGGGCTTCAGGCCATGCATTTGTTACACTGCACATCCTTTTGGTATGATCAATGTAAACACAAAGTTTCAGTATCCAAGTTCAAATGCAAGTAAATTTATGCTACAGACACGAAATTCTAACAAAGGGCAATAACTCTGAAACTGAGGGATCAAGGGCCCTGTATCACTGTACATCCCTTTAGCATGACCAATGTATACACCAAGTTTAATTGTTGCTGTGTAATTGTGGGCATAATGGATACAGAAGGACAGACTGACAAAGTGGTGACTATTTGCTCACCACGAAAATTTTCTAGAAGCATAATAAACAACACAATGTTACTGATTTGGTAAATGGTTCCCTGAATATAAGATAGATTATGTGTATTTGGAAAAAAAATCTAGTTCTCCTCAATGTGAAGCATTTTCAAAATTATTCATAGGTAATGGTAAGTATGAGCAGCTTACATACTGCTCGAAAGAGGAAAGAAAAGTGAAAGCAGACAGTCTGTCTCTGTTTTTAATTATCAAATACTGTCTTCATGCAGATATAACGCAGGATAACATGTGCAGTCCTCAAGGTCAAAAAAGAAAACAAACAAGTCATCAATAACAAATATTATAATTACATGTTAATTATTTCACCTCATAAATCTTTCAAAATACAGGACAAACCAGCTCATCACACCTACGTATCTATATCAAGTAGAAGTTTTTCCTCTGTTTCTAATTATTCTTTGCTGCTTAGAGCTATAAAGGAAACTAAAAAACAAAAAAAATCATTTGAATCAGATGTGGGAGAGCTGAATATGTCTGACTTATTGGCGAGTAATTATAAAGAAAAACCACTCCAATAAAATCAAAATGACATTTGCTTTGCTGGAAAACCCACAGGTGTGGTGTATAATCAGCTCAACAGTGTCACATGTATGCACAATTCCTGTTGTTCTGTTCTTCACAAAAGAAAAATCTATGTTTGGCTAGAGAAGTGTAGCACACTTGGCTAGAGAAGTGTAGCACACCTGGCTAGAGAAGATTAGCACACTTGGCTAAAGAAGATTAGTACACCTGGATAGAGAAGATTAGCACACTTGGCTAGAGAAGTGTAGTACACCTGGCTAGAGAAGATTAGCACACCTGGATAGAAAAGTTTAGCACACCTGGCTAAAGAAGATTTGCACACTTGGCTAGAGAAGTGTAGCATACTTGGCTAGAGAAGTGTAGCACACCTGGATAGAGAAGATTAGCACTTCTGGCTAAAGAAGATTAGCACACCTGGATAGGGAAGATTAGCACTTCTGGCTAAAGAAGATTAGCACACCTGGATAGAGAAGATTAGCATATCCAGAGATAAAGATTAGTTGATTCTCTTGTAGAAGTTGAGAGTTGTCTTAGCAGAGTCAGCTCATCAGAATTTTCCTGTAGTCAAAGGCTGTTATTCCTTTCTTTTACACCCATGGCTCAGAAATATAAATGACACATTAAATTACTCTCAGAAATAATCCTAAAAAACAAGTGTTCCACGAGGTAGTAATGATATGCTCGTCACAGCATTTTGCACCAGGAAAGGGAAGGAAAGTAATGTTTAATGTCCAATCAACACACTAAGACTGTTTTGATAATTGAATAAAGGGCCATAACTCCATGAATGACAGTCGGAAAACTTACAGGGTAATGAATCATCCTATAAAGGTAAAGCTGATCTGGTGAAAACTGCTTTCGATATCAAGTTAACACTGTAAAGTTTGAAGTTGATCTGTTACTAATTACTTGCAATATCGAGCAGACATTGTTTTAGTAATTAAATATGGGGCCTTAACTCCATGGATTATAGTTAGAAATTATGGTGTTGTCCTTGTCCACGATAATGAACCTCTCTATAAAGTTTAGAATTGATCTTTCAAAACCTACTCAAGTTATTGAATGGACATCGCATGTGCAAGCCCGCCCACCCAACTGACCGCCCACCTTGACACATGATAAGACAATATGACCCATCTTTAGACGGATTATAAAAACTTATTTTCTTATCTTTATCAATAATGTCCTTTCACTTTCATATCTACAACAACACAACACAACCCTATCACAAGGGCAAATGAATATATTGATAACAATCAGCTGTCATCAGACTGTTATCTGTAAACTCCACCATGAGGTTTGGACATTATGAAGTTGTATTCTCCCACCGCTAAAAACATCTACATACCATAAACAATGAATCTAATTATAAATACATGGAACTAATTTTGCATTATGACAGAAAACAGCTGAAATTGTCTTTCATTTATTCTTTACATTTTGCCAGTGAAATATAAGGTTTTAACAGAAAAAACATAAGTGATATAACACCAAATATCACAATAACCCAATGTCAATCTGTTCTAGTATCACATATCACAATAACCCAATGTCAATCTGTTCTAGTATCACATATCACAATAACCCAATGTCAATCTGTTCTAGTATCACATATCACAATAACCCAATGTCAATCTGTTCTAGTATCACATATCACAATAACCCAATGTCAATCTGTTCTAGTATCACATATCACAATAACCCAATGTCAATCTGTTCTAGTATCACATATCACAATAACCCAATGTCAATCTGTTCTAGTATCACATATCACAATAACCCAATGTCAATCTGTTCTAGTATCACATATCACAATAACCCAATGTCAATCTGTTCTAGTATCACATATCACAATAACCCAATGTCAATCTGTTCTAGTATCACATATCACAATAACCCAATGTCAATCTGTTCTAGTATCACATATCACAATAACCCAATGTCAATCTGTTCTAGTATCACATATCACAATAACCCAATGTCAATCTGTTCTAGTATCACATATCACAATAACCCAATGTCAATCTGTTCTAGTATCACATATCACAATAACCCAATGTCAATCTGTTCTAGTATCACATATCACAATAACCCAATGTCAATCTGTTCTAGTATCACATATCACAATAACCCAATGTCAATCTGTTCTAGTATCACATATCACAATAACCCAATGTCAATCTGTTCTAGTATCACATATCACAATAACCCAATGTCAATCTGTTCTAGTATCACATATCACAATAACCCAATGTCAATCTGTTCTAGTATCACATATCACAATAACCCAATGCTGATCTGTTCTAGTATCACATATCACAATAAGCCAATGTCAATCTGTTCTAGTATCACATATCACAATAACCCAATGCTGATCTGTTCTAGTATCACATATCACAATAACCCAATGTCAATCTGTTATATCACTTAATATCACAATAACCCAATGTTGATCTGTTAAAGCACCAAATATCACAATAACCCTATGTTGATCTGTTATAGCACTTAATATCACAATAACCCAATGTTGATCTGTTATAGTACTTAATATCACAATAACCCAATGTTGATCTGTTATAGCACTTAATATCACAATAACCCAATGTTGATCTGTTATAGCACTTAATATCACAATAACCCAATGTCAATCTGTTATATCACTTAATATCACAATAACCCAATGTTGATCTGTTAAAGCACCAAATATCACAATAACCCTATGTTGATCTGTTATAGCACTTAATATCACAATAACCCAATGTTGATCTGTTATAGTACTTAATATCACAATAACCCAATGTTGATCTGTTATAGCACTTAATATCACAATAACCCAATGTTGATCTGTTATAGCACTTAATATCACAATAACCCAATGCTGATCTGTTATAGTACTTAATATCACAATAACCCAATGTTGATCTGTTATAGCACTTAATATCACAATAACCCAATGCTGATCTGTTATATCACTTAATATCACAATAACCCAATGCTGATCTGTTATAGCACTTAATATCACAATAACCCAATGTTGATCTGTTATAGCACTTAATATCACAATAACCCAATGCTGATCTGTTATAGTACTTAATATCACAATAATCCAATGTTGATGAATGTAAATACCATATCCGTTGTTTAAGTAGTTTCATTTAACTGAAGAAATCCTGGAAAAGTCTGATTAATGGAAGCAAATTAAGATTGCATTTAATGATAATAGTAATTATCTAAGTGCTTACAAACTTTAATCAGGATTCCACACAATGATGTAAACAGACATTTAATTGTACCATGTACTTGAAATGAATATGAAGGAGACATGTTAACATGGAAAGGTTTCCTTAAGAAATCAATGTCATTATGATTGATGTCTGTGATTGCACACACTAGGATTCCTCACCGAGTTAAATCAATAGTTTGTCTCTGACCTACATAGCTGCCATCAATCAACACACATGAACAAAAATCTCTCCAACAACTCCCTGTTACATTAAAATGATAAAAGAAAAGTGTTCAGAGGAAATCCATTACTAGAATAAAAACAAAGTTGAAAGAAAATGATAAAATTTAATGCACATGTACTCTGAAAACATCTGTTAATGAAATTTGTTATTAGGAAACTGTCAATGAATTTCCGTCTTTTTTTTCAATTTTAAGACGAGCACAGTCACA